ATTAGATGTGAGACATTTTATTAACATAAGTTATTCGTCATTATATCAAACATCCCACTCCACCAGTATTTTGGTGAGGGTTAATGCTATATCATTTAACTATTACTAATTAAAGTGATTATATATACAACTTTGACATACCTAGCTATACGAAATTTTAAACATCAAGTAGATGATCCACATGCCAGGTGGGATTTACATAGGAGGTGGAAATCCTACCACTAGTTTAAACCGCCTAACCTACTAGGTCCAGTCTCGACTGCATCTGTCGTGGGTGGGGCACATTATGGAATATTATTATAAAGATTAACCCCAGTATTCCAGTCACTGTTATCACCGATCCTTGGGATGTACCACTAGCATAACGTAGTACTACCGTTTTCATCACCTGTGGAACTGGCGTCCTTGTTTGGATTCCGATTTAATCTCATAGATCCTCACTAGACACACTTGGCTTAACGATTTTTACCTAGTATTCTCACCACCTGTGGCTGATACCTTGCCTTTCAGTCATATGATTAAGTTCCATAGAACATCACATTGGGATAGATCTACAAGCTCCAGATTGGGATAGAACAGCTTAGAATTAACCTTTTTTTTGAATTGTGTGATGGAGTCTACCATCGCCAGTTTGGATTAGATTGGACTTTTTATCGGAGTTAGATCAGAAGCCTTTTCTTATGCAACCTTCCTTGCTTCGACCTGTTTTTAGCCCACGATCGTCAGGAAGACAAGAGGTCCCATCTTCATGCAGCCTAACTAATTTTGGAAGATAATTTGCAGCTGATTGGATACAACATGAATTGGAAGCCGATAATTATACCGTTTTTAATATCTGTCTTATATAATCTTTTTTATTAGACATTCGGTATAGATTTTTAACATATGTTTTGTGAAGAGTTTCATAGGTCTCTGTAGTCATACTATTTATTGCTCCATATTCTTTTATTGCGGGTATTAAATGATAACACCAGGTATAAAGCTTTGGTAATCACAAATTACTTTGTGAATATGGAGCAAATATTTCAATAAATTCTTGAGCCCAATCATTAATAAACATCTATAATAGAAAGTATTATTAATCAAAGCAAATGTGATTAACTTAATTTAATATTACTTACCTTAAGTTCATCTATTGAATTGTTATTAAACGATTCCATTCGAGATGCAATGTACATTCAAAGAAATTTATAATAAACTTGACATAACTGTTTATTACTTATTTCTGACTTTCTATAATTATTATATAGATTATCCAGTGAAAAAATTATTATTTTCATTATATTTCACAATTCATCAGCAATTAGACGAGTTATATCAAATATATTTTTCATTATCTTTAAGCCTTGAAATCGAGGAATCGATAGAAATCGCTTTTCAAAAACTTGAATTACTTGATTTTCACATTGTTCCCGTAATATTTCTTTTATATAATATAGCATATATTTAAAAAAACCAAGATCTAATATATGCATACAATATGGAACAATTGTTTCATATATATTAAAGTTTCTAAAAAGCTGTTTGACAATATTAGTTTAATATATTTTAATTTTAATTAATAAATTATATCATACCTTAATTTCCAAAATACATTTATTTTAAGATGAATTGAATAATATTGAAAATTATTATCTTTAATCACTTGTCTCATATTATCTGGTATTCTATATGAGATATTGGTTTTATTTATATTATTTAGATTTTCTTTTGATATTAAACATAAGTAGCAAGGCCAAGTAGAGTAATAATGGGCTTTTTAGATACACGACGATGTGTTTTTTGATTAATTCTAGTCTATTTCTTTAGATTTTAAGTTTTTATCCTATTCTTGATAACTTTATAAATCATATATGCAGGTGTTTTTTTTCTTCATGGTGACATATATAACGCCATGTGATGTATTTTTTTGATATCCTTTTTGATCACTATTTAGTTTTTTGATCCAGAGGAGCATAGCGACTCTGAATACGAAGTGTAGTAATTAGTTATCTGTTTAATTCACAATTGGCTTTCTAACGCAATTGCGGAGTGAAGCGAAGCATAGTTATTTGTTTAGTTAGCATTTAGCTTTCTATTAATAAATCAGATAATAAAAAATATAGATAAAAATATAGGACAAAATTGGTATATTTTTATACATGTCACTCGATCTGATTGTGATTATGTCGTCATTTAAATGTGTATTATATTTTGATTATCTAAAAATTTGTATTTTAATATATTAGAAAATGCTATAATAAACTCTGATCAATGGTACAAGAAGAAAATAGATAGTAAAAAATATAGATAAATTAGGTACACATTTGGTGTTTTTTTGGTTTACTTTATATCAGCTTTTGTTGTCAGACATAGAACTGCATAACATAATATCCTTTAGCATGATCTTTACACGCTTCAGGTTCAGAAGAAGTCAGCTTATCACAAACTTTGCAGGGAACACATTTTTTAGACCTCCAATGTTCATGGCACCCTTCGGGTTTTCAACATCCATGACCACAGACTTTTCCAGAGTTGTGTATATATTCACATGTATATTTACCCTGCATTTCGATAAATTTATATAACTGAATTAATTAATTTAATTTAAACAAAAAGATCTGGTTATATTAATAAAAAACACGGAATACAAATATATATTACAATAGTAGGTAAATGTCCAGGTTGTGGATTCACTCCAAGAACTGGTAAAACTCGTGATCTGAATAAACACATGGATTTAACACGATCCAGACCATGTCAAGCTCTCTTACAACTAACACAAGTGCAAAATACACCTCAGGTAAAAAATGCTACTCCAGAGCAAAATCCAGTATTGACCCCGGAAGGTGATCTCATATCATTTAATAAAAATCCATCAACGCACCATCCAAGAGAGGCAAGAGAACTGGCTATCAACCTTTTAACTGGAGATATTCCGGATATAGAAGTTGAGTCAGCTCCTAATACCTATATAGACCAAAAAAAAGTCCATTTTTAACAATAGATGAAATAATAAAATGGGTATCAAAACCGGAAATAAAAAATAATAATAAAATTAGATCAAAACCAATTCCTAAAACTGACAAAGAATAGTTTAATTTAATGGAGTCAGATGATAATAAAGATAGTGAACCAAGCGATTCAGAATATGATACAGCAGATAAAGATCCAGATGTATATTTCGAAAAAAGAAAAGACCCTTATATTAATAGAAAATCAAAAGCAGAAAATTTTAACGAAGGTGAGGTATGTGATTATTATGTATTTGTACCAAAAGGTTATTATACAGAAAATGAGCCATTAGGCTTTTTTGAATCAATCGAAGAAAAGATTGGTGATATATATAAAAGAGAGTTAGCTCTAAAAGGAGAGTTAAAAGTGAGAATTGTATTAATAGCATATATGAAGAAAATTATGCCAGAATCTCCAGAGCCAACATTTAAATCAATTCCATTCAAACATAATACAATAGAAATAATAAGAGAAGATAGAATTAATGCAACTATAGAAAAAGAATATAATGAAATTATAGATGAAATAGAAGATGAAGCATTACAAGAGTCAGGATAGTCTTTTGTTCGAGCAGAAGAAGTATTTCTTGAGATAAGGCATTTAGACCATTGCGAGGTAGTAGTTATTTAGCTTTACCGGAAGCTTTAGATAAACCTCAACTAGGATTAATTAATCCATAAAATAATGAAGATAATGAGTGTTTTAAATGGTGTATTAGTGCATATCATACAAGAGAAGAAACAATAAAAAATAATAGAAAACCACCACACCTTAATGAAATTCAAAGACTTAGACGTAATGCAAATATTGCTAATTTTGAAGGTATAAAATTTCCAGCAACACTACATGATGTTAATAAATTCGAGGAAAATAATCCAAACTATGCTATAAATATATTTACACCATTTTATAGAGAAGCTTTCGGAAAAATAATAGTAGATATAGACCCATTACATATTTCAGAACAAAATTACCAAGTAGCACATATGATAGATTTATTATATTTAACAGAAGGTGAGGAGAATTTAAATGATAGAAAAAATTGTAACGATATACCAGAAGGATTAAAAACACATTATGTATATATAACAGATTTTGAGCGATTATTGCATAAGTGGAATAATCATCATGGAAAGAAATACTTTTGTCGAAAATGCTTGCGATTTCCATATAGTAGATTAGATCTATTACAAGAACACATTCCTAAATGTCTAGGTCCAAGTAAAGCCTCACAACATTTAATTCTTTCAGAAGAAGGTAATAATTACGTAAAGCCTAAATATATCAAAAATATAATGATAAAACCTTATTTAATTAGTATGGATTTGGAAGCTGAAGAGATAAAAGTAGAGAAAGAAGATAAAGAAGGAAATACTATAAAAGAAGTTGAGCAAAAAGTAATTTCATACGGATATACAATACATTGTTCAGATGGAAAAACTCAAAAACCGGTAATTAATCGAGAATCAAAAAACGTAATAAAGGACTTAATGTATAATCTTCAAGAAGATCTAGATGTTATTTTAGATAAGCTCTGTGATCCTCTTCCATGTGAAAAAATGACACCAAAATTATGGAGGCAGTATCAAACAGCAAACAAATGTTGGATATGTGAAGAAAAATTACATGAATCAGGATATAATAAAATTCGAGTATTTGATCCAGAATCTAAAAAATATTTGGGTGCTTCGCATAGAAAATGTCACGGGAAAAAACCAATGATTCAAGGTAAGTTAGATGATGAACAAAAGAAAGTTCATGGCGCGTGTAAAAAATGTATGTATTGTAAAACACAATTGCCAGATGAAGGAAAAAATAGGGTACTAGATCATGACCATATCACAGGAAAATTTCGAGGAGCATCACATAATGAATGCAATCTGAAATTACGAATCGATCCAGAAACAATAAAATTCCAGTACTATTATGTAATGGGAGTGGCTATGATTTTCACCATCTAATGCAAGAAATAGCAAAAGTGACAGATAAAAAAATAGTGCCTATAGCAAATAATTCTGAGCAGTATATAACATTCTCAGTCAGACAACTTCAATTTATAGATAGTATAAAGTTTTCGCTACCTGGTTTAGCTAAGATGGCAGAAAATTTACGTGATGAAAAGAAGGGCCAAACTAAAATACCAGAGCAACTAGCAAAATGTTTTCCAATTATGTCAAAATTCATCTCACCTCATTTATTATCTTTACTAACATGAAAAGGAATATTCCCATATCAGTGGTTAAATAATAAAACAAAATTTAATGAGACACAGCTCCCACCACGTAAAGATTTTAATAGTGATTTAGATGGATATAATTATTGCGAGCATGGGTGTGAAAACAAAGAATGTGAACATGAGAAAATTTACACTATATCACAAAAGGATTACGATTTCGCACAAACAGTTTGGCAAGAAACTGGATGCAAGACTTTTGGAGATTATCATGATATCTATCTTAAGACCGATGTGTTAATTTTAGCAGATGCATTCGAGGCATTCCGTAAAGCCTCATATTCAGCATTCAAGCTCGACCCAGCAAATTATTTAACCCCGTAACGTTGAAATCGGTTATCTTCAAAACATCATGCAACTAGAGAGTGCCTACCACACCAATAAAAAGAAGCGTTCAGCGGATGAAGCTTTCCAGGATGATGATTACGATTATCTCTATGGAATAGTTTCTACAGGTATATACGTGAATTTTTTCTATTGTGGAGTAATGGGCTTCGCCCTGGCAAAAGTGATCGGCGTTACGAAAAATAACGCGCATATGATTTTTATTAATCACCGCTTAATATTTTTAGCCACGGAATGGCATTTCATCGTCTTTGCCACTGACGGGCTCTATTGCACCAGTAAAAGTGAATATCAAATAAATCTCTCTAAAACGGCACTTGAGGAGGATCTTGAATCAATTCGAAAAGGAGTAAAGCGAGTGTTGGGTGTTATCGTGGGATTATTAAAAGATCGAATTAGTATTGATAACTCACCAGCCAGTAAGAAGGCTAAGATTAAAAAATTTACAAAGTAATGGGTAGATTTCCCTCCACATGTATTTTTTTATTGTATCAATAAATTTTTTTCTGATCGTGGACATAAATCAAAGAGCCAAAGAGCACTCTATTATCATTTAAGTTTATTAATATAATTTTTTCTAGAGCCTATTGATTATACATGATTTTGTCAGTGAGAATAATGCTATCGCATCTAAACAATATTTCGCATATATATTGATCATTTAGACTGAGTTTGTGTCATAGCTAAACTATGATATCGATTCAAAGCTTTTTTTGCGAATGGTCCATTTAATCGAAAAAGCCATGGAATAACAGCCCGTTGGATAATTTTGGCGGAATTTGTTCGGATTTTCATCCATGATCTAAATCGCCTTTGAATTATTTCGCATGCGCGTCTTTTACTGTATTTAGGTATTACGGAACAATTGTTGTTATGTTCAAGCCCATTGGTACCAAGATAATCGAAGAAGTATCCGCATTCCAAACAATGTACCGCTAGAACGGGGAAAAAGAGCCCGAGTTCATCTTCGATACGAAAACAGTTTACGGGGGCACTCAGTAGTCTTATTGGGTAGGCCATTCCAACTACAAGATAAACAATGACCATAGCATAAACGTTCTTTCATGATTATCGAATACACTAAGTTTTAGCATTCCAGAGTTTTTTGCGATCTATTTTATACTTACGGTGGAGGTACTTCGGAGAAGATTTATCCCGTAAAATAATTTTCCAGATCAATCTACAAAAAAAGGGTAATAAGTGATTACGCAAGTTATTTTTTAAATAGTGGACTGGTAACCTTATCAATAAAAATACCAACCTTATTTTTAGCACCTTGTACTAGCTCCGCTAAACTTCATAATCATTCGTGGGTCAATGCGATAATCCCTAAGCGATCCATTCATTCTTAGTCTGTGGATGATTTGCATAATTGTCTTCGATTACGCAATGCAACGTCGAAACTTAAAAATAGATGCTATTAATAATCAAAGAAATGCTAATAATACCTGATTACGTTTACTGTCAAGTTAAAAAGTCATTCTCGCATCTTCTCCACTTCTACGTGAAATAAATGATGATCGAAACGTAACCATATAAAAAGATGCTGTCTTCTGCAAAACTAACGTGGCATTTAATAAAGGCCTTACAAAAACAAACTCATCGATCTTAGTACCACTCATCTTAAATCAAAGGAATCCGCACGTCCCACAATTAAATTTCTAATCGGAATTTCTTTGCATAAATGCTCCCATTCACCGTTTTGGAAAATATGCCTTTTATGGCTTTAACCGATACTTTAATTTTCGTCGTTACGAAGATGACTCCCGAAAATATCCGTTTGTGTATAGGATTCATCTCCATATAGTTTTCTTATGGGATGTAAAGCGAAAAAATGTCATTGAAACAAACTCTCGTGAACAAATCGGCAAGATCAAATCCGAAATAAATTCCCGTGATGCTAACTATGCAACGAAATCGTCAATGAATTCGAAACAATCAGGGCCGTTGATCAGATTTTCGTGATGCGATCATATAACGTAATTTCCTCCAAAAGCGTATTCCAAAATCGATCCTGCAAATTATATAAAATGGGGATGTCCCTGTTAGTGGAACCTTTTATCTGCCTTGTGCAAGCAAAACGAAAAAATCAAACGAAATAATCAAAATTACTATTATTTATATAATCGATATTTCGGAGCAAAGAAATAATGTGATGCTGGGACTCGCATTAAATGGCCTAGGATCCGCGTACTCCCTCCCTCTTTGATAGCATCATACATTTCATTCGCTTGTTATCTTTGCATTCAATCATTCAGGATGTTGTTTTGATATATTTCTCTATGCCAATTCAATAAAATGTGTTTGAAGTTAATATGATAACTGAAATATAATCAAAAGTACGTGGATATAAAAAAAGCCCATCAAAACTGCCGGCTGTTGCCAGGCGCAGTCATAATGGTAACCTTTACAAGAAAGAGCGGTCACCGGCTGTTGCCAGACATGAGCATGCTCTACTTGTACTTCATCACAACTGCCGGCTGTTGCCAGGCGCAATTATAATGGTCACCTTTACAAGAAAGAGCGGTCACCGGCTGTTGCCAGACATGAGCACGCTCTACTTGTACTTCTATCACAACTGTCAGCTGTTGCCAGAGCACAGAGTAATAGGGTTGCAAAGGGAGGTCTCGCCTTCACACTTCCATGGGTCAACTACCGGCTGTTGCCAGGCGTAGTAGTCATGGGTTGGAAAAACTAAAAATGTAAAAATATTGGCAAGGATAGATTTCAACGTCACGTCGTTCGATAAATATTGATCAGAAATCCGTCGTTAAGTACGCCTATGCCTCCTCGAACCCCAATTGGTCAATTATCACATGCTGATAAAGTAATGAGTCATGATCTACAATTTCACGTAACTCTCCCCATTTTAGATTTAAGCACCACCTCAAACTTTAGCGCGTCAAACTCAAGTTTAAATAATAATCATTTTAGCCATTTACCGCTGAGCTTGTTAATGACACTACCGGACTTGATATAACTGAAATTTCTACTTCAAGACAGAGAAAAAAAATATTTTTTTAATAATGGACAAAGAGTCACGTTTGAAGAGCTCAAAGTTTTTTGATTACAAATGTTCGGGAATTTTGGGCATACACAAGTTCTTCATTGAGGAACCAGCATCTAAATAGTGCCTGGAAACGTTTGTGAACAAGTTTGTAGCTGAGAAAGCGACGGAACTAAGTTTTGAACAAATCCAAGAACTCTTTTTGGCTAACCTATGACAAATTACTAACCAGAAGAATGTCGATAGTCCTATTCGTGCATTTTGTATAGACTATACTGAATGGATACAAGTAATCATCTAGCTCTCTTAATTCGTAGTATTTCATTGTGATTCAAAGCTAATCCTAATATCCATCAAAGTCGTGAAAGGGGCAAGCAGTTTCGAAGGCATGTAAGGAGTTTTTTGAAGAATAGATAGATATAGGAATATCTTTATGGCAAAAACGCAAACATAAGGAAATCACTGAGGTATGTTTTATTTTATTTTATTTTTTGGAATGTGTTCTCTCTTTTTTTTGAAAAGATTAGAATATTTATATTATTGATTAGGATTTCGTTTCTGAAAATGCGAAATATATATCACTTCAAAATACCATTAATCAAAACCAAAGAGCCCAAACGCCTTTACACCAGTCACGGGCTCAAATGCCTCCGCACCAGTTACAAGCTCAAACGCCTCCGCACCAGTCACGGGTTCAAACACCTCCACCTAGGTTATCATGATCCTTAACACCAACCACACCGAATAAAAGAATGATAGAATACGAAAAAGTCAAACGGTGAGTTCAAGTTAAAATCATATTTGTTTCGATATTTTTTAGCCTAATGATTTCATATCTTTAGGTACATTGAATCAATCCAGATCGTATGCGTGTTTGGCACAAATAAATCTAAATCGAAGGAACTAGTAGGAAAAGAATTGGCAAATAAGATATCCTCATATCGAAAGCGGATACCTTCCACCTGGACAAGTGGTTTAGAGAAATACTTGAAGGATGCATTTAATGTGAGTCTATATTATATTTCATTCGATGGTTCGGCAAATTGATATATATAATATCTATCTGTATAGAAAACGGAAAAACAATTCAAATTGGTGATACAAGAGGAAATAATAGGAGAGGACGGAAACAAATTCAGATTATACTGCGAGAAAGTGTTGATGGAATTGTAAGTATTGAGTTGTTAATGAGCATAAAGGAAAATCATGCATAATGATGTTACTTTGATATTCTTTTAAGTTATAATCTAGTCGATGTTTTCCTAACACTTTCGAGGAATATCAAAGAAAGAAAGTTTACAATATACCATATTTCACCCTTTTTAAAGTTATATAAATTCACTTTTGGAACCTTAGAATTCAACTGGATAGAATCTCATGTGCAATCAGCAAAAATTATGAAGTCTCCGATTGATTCAGGAATCGTATTAGTAGACGTTAATGGTATGCACTAAGATTAATAGTTGTTATTGTTATTGTGACTAGCTACTAATTTAAACACTTATTCTCTTGACACAATAGGAGTTTGGGTCAGAGATTACAAAGAAATCTTTCACATGGAGGTCTCGGGATCACCAAGCAACCCGACAATTCGTCATACTACAGGTGATACAAAGAAGACATTACACACTGACATATTGAATTTAGTGGACGTTTTAAGAGATCATCTTGATCTTGATATGAAGTTAGCAAAAGAAGTTAAAGTGTATAGTATGCAAGTCATTGGTAAGTTTTCATTGCACATTTTTGTATAATCAAATACTAATTACGGTATTATTCCTTTTTACTATTTATTCTTAGCATATCGGCTGACATTGTATGCCCTTAGTATAATGGAAGACAGCAGGTTTGTTGCATATGAGCTATCATCTGTGGAGTTGCCATTTGACTTTGATTCACGTTCAAAGTACATGGCAGTCCTGCGGATAATGGCTATTTTCCATGTAAGCATGTAGTATAAATAATTATTTTTTTAAAAAAAGTCAACCAAAATATTGCCCTAAATATTTAATAACTTTTTTGTAAATCTTAGGACGAAATGGTCCAACAGGCAGTTATCATGAACAAAATAGATAGTATTCTCATTCCTTCCGAAGGTACATGTGTTCGAGATGTCTTGAAAATTCCGGAAAACTTGTGAAATTTATAATGTTTAGAAAATTTCTAGTGTAATTATTGCAGAATAAATGTATTTTGCTTAATATTATAGATTATAGATATTATGATAGTATTGATAAATTTGATGTATTTTTCGTATGATTATATTTTGTGCAAATAAAAATGATTTTTTACACACAAAAGCCTTCTTACATGAAATCTATGATTAAGGGAGCCATGAATCAAAAAAAATTATTATGTCTTCTAAGCTGGCCAGAATGTAATGTAACCTGTGGGAGATAACCTATTATAATAGCAGATAGTATATCCAGATAACATACCCTAATAAATTATCTTTTTTCTCATATTCATTTGAAAAAAGAAGGCACCTGCTCAATTATAATAGACAAACTTTTGAGAAATTTATGCTAGATAATATAGGGAGTGGGATTAATGCAAATAAGAAATTGCGAGGCGAAATCTGATTGGCCGATCATCTTGTGATTTAAGAAATTCACCAGTGCCTGGAACTTTTCTAGAACTATCGACCCTATATAAATTCCTATAATCGAATAAAAAATGAATTTGAGTTTAGCAATATGTAGTCCACTAAATCGGCTACAAATCAATAAAACTGCTATAAATCATTAAAACTGCTTAACCAGCAAATTCGTATAAATTTGAAACATGCTATTCATTAGTATAAGTTACTAAAAACGCTATAAATCAATAAATTGCTATAATTCATTATAATTCACTAATTTAGTAAGAAATATGTTTGGTACGATTATTTTAGATGAGCAGTTTAATAAGATTGTGCCTAAACCTATTAATAATCGTCCTGGATATGATATAAAATATGTTAGTGCATATATTGTAAATTACTGTTATGGTACTGACCTCAAAAAAATAATCGGAATAGAGTGGAAGTATGATATATTATCAGTTGTGAAACAAGGTCAGTCTCTAGTTGCATGGGCTGTAAGTATTAGAATTTGATTACAAGAATTATTAGCCAATCAGAGATTTAGTGTATATTACCGACATTGCTTGTTTGCAGGATTTGGAAATGGCAAAATGGTTAATTCTGACTATCATCAACCCAGAATCAATAAGAGTAATATGGCTATTTGCTTCGATTGCTGGAAACTCATAAAAATCGATAATGTGAATCCTAAAAAATCATTCCATTATACTAGATAAAGATATGTTGATCGTCTCGAACCTAAAGATCTGATGCAGGAACATTGGGATTACGAATGTAATAAACCAAAGACTGATTTTGGAAAAGCAAGAATTATACAAATAGCTTATCAAAATTATAAGAATAGATCCGAATATTTAGCAATTCAAGCTTAGAATGCAATGAAAAATAACAGTATTTTTGATAATGAAAAATTTCTAGGTTTAATTCAGCATAAAGTGAAAAATCTGCAAACTCGGGAACAATTCAATAAATGGTATACTAAATGGATTACAATGTATAAACAATGTAATTTGGAAATTCCTTTGAATATTTATGTTAGAGAATATAAAGAATATTATATTTCGGTTGATTGGATAAGTTCTAAAAAGAGACAATTGCAGGTTAGATTTCAAAAGTAACTTTTAGAAATAGAAGCATAGTATTTAATCAATTATATAACTTATATATATATATATATATATTTTTAAAATAAACTACCTAAAGTATTTTTGAGGGCTAATACTTTAGACTTTATTCATTGCTATTTCGTGATGATTAATAGCTATTTTTTTCTTGCTTTTTATTCTTTTGACGCAATTCTATTTCTTTCTGCAAATCTAATGGAATATCAAATCTTAAACGAATTGCTAGAGGATCGTCCTCTGACCTAGTAAGATCAAATACTATAAACTCATTTCTACGTAAATAACTGTTAATAACCATTGATGCATTTTTTACATCATCAGTATATCGTCCAATTATTTTGGACACATCTTGATGTGAACCACCTCCATTAAACATTACTAAGTGAGAGGCATTTTCACATATGAATGTAGTAATTTTATGATATTTCTGCGCTACATATATGCATGAAATATTTTGATGTTGCCCATTTCCAAAAAATTGACCAATTCAATTCTGTATATGTTCTGGAGCAAGGCACAAATCCTCAAAAACAATTGCTGTACTTCGTTCAGGTGAAAATGCTTTTACATTAAAGATTTTTTCTGGTGATATATACCTAAATCGTATATTCTCATAGTAAGGCGCTTTTGGATCTTTTGAAATTATGCCATACATATATCTTACAAATGCCCATTTTGGCTTATCAGAATGATATCCACATACGATTAAATCATCGCAAGAAATATATCTACTACCACCTTTTTTACCTTTATATATACATTCAGCTTTATCACCGAGAAAAAGATTCGCCAAGATATTAGTTTTACCCGATCCACTCTTTCCAATAACTAGCTTAAAGAAAGGCCATGCCATTGTTGGATGTTCAACATTTTGTGATGATTTATGTTTATTAGCTTCGTCCATATCCATAAAGTAAAGTTTCATAGGTGGCAATTCTTTCTTTTGATTCTTTTGTATAACAGATTGGGAATCCATAACTTTGATTTTTATAGACTGGATAAAAAATTTCTTTCTTTTTGATTGAACAAAAAATTTGACTATATATATATCATATAATTAATATTACTATTAAAGCAATAATAACAAACTTGAATATAGGCAGAATTATATAATGATTATTAACTAAAGCATTACTACCTCCCAATGCAATAATAGGTAATTCCTCAACCTCTCCTATTGCAATATCTTGAATCAAAGGATGAGATATGTCATCTTTATCATTAGTTTCATTATTTACTTTGGAATTGATCTTAGAATTGATTTTTGATGATTCGGTAATCTCATTATTAATGTGATCTGGTATAATAGTGGAGTTAGTGTTAAGATTTATAGTATCGGTTTTTTTAGCTTGATCCATGTTTTTTTTACGTATTAAATATGGACCAAGATTACAAATATTCTCCGATTTTAAATGTTTCAGCTCATTAACTTTTGAAGCTAACTCTTGTTCCAATTCTGCCATTTTATACTTGAGAGATAATATCTCAGATTCTTTTTTGATCAAGTCATTTTGAACTAAAAGCACATCTTGCTGAGCTGATTCCAATTTATTTTTTAATATCTCATTTATAGCCTGAAGCGATTTTATTTTTTCCAATTGGGTATTATACTTGGCTTTATACTCGGTATGGGAAATTTGTAATTGGGTAAGTTGGGATGTAAGGTTAGTATTCTTGCTTTGAAGTTGTTTGCCCTCATTAATAATTTGTGAAGTGTGAGTATATAATTCTTGAAAATCTTTACTATAACGCAATGAATCCCGATTCCACTTCTTTTTTTCTCGGTTAAAATCCCCTTCTCGCTTCAAATATATATTCTGCAGATCCTTATATTAATTAGCAAGATCAGAGTTAGATTTGATACTATTGCGTAATGCTTTTTCAAGCTCTAATTCATGAATGTTACCAAGCCGATGAGCTTTATTCTCAATATCTTTCAAGGTAAATACATTGCTCATAGTTACTAGTATATAAAAAATATATTTTTTTATTGTATTATATATAAAACACTCTGGAATAAATAAAATGTTATCGAACGATCTTTAATAATATAAATCTATGATAAATGAAAAATTTCAAATAAATCACAATATGTTTATATCTATGTTTATATATAAAAAAAATCTATTCTTATAAATCCTTTCACTTCATCGTTAATAATTTTTATCCATCTTGAAAGATAAATATTTATCTTTAACATTTTTATTCGAATAATAAATAACCATCTTTAACATTTTTTATCGCTTTAAAATATTCCAAAAATCTAAACCAATGAATACCCCATTTTTAAAAACATATTATCATCGAAATGCACATTATTTATCTCGTGAGCAGATTGAAGAAATTAGGAGGCTCAAGAACAAAGTTCCTATATATAAAGTGATTGGTGATTATCATATATGTAAAGAGCGCGTTCTTGATATATGGAATAATTGTGAGCGTCTTCAACAAAGAGAAAATTATAGGCATACTCTAGAAACCCCTATCGACACTTCAAATAAGCAGGTTAAGAAAAAAAAATTGAGACCTAAATTGGTTCAAATTTCTGACTCACCTGATGTTATTAATAAGGGTGATACATCCAAAGATCCAATAAAAAACAAAATTACTGAAGACTGTCACAAAGTAGCTATTTTACCAACTGAAGAATCATCCTCCAAAGATGTCTTGAATTTGTTTAAGAGAACTAATAGTGATATAGAACAAATTTGAGCATCTGGTCGTGCTCTTAAGCCTTAGCTTCATATTGTTCAAGTAAACTATTATAGTATCCTATCATTTTTAAATTCGATTGAATGCTAGATAATAATGCCTTTTCAAGCTCTTTTATTCGATTTTTCATACTTTCATAATTTACATAGTTAATTTTTTTTTTAATTCTTCACTAGATAAAGAGTTAGAGTCTCGAGTTTCCAATTCATCGGAATTCAATGTTTCTGTGATCTCTGTCTTTTTTGGTGGATCCTTCGCTACTGGAGCCTTACTAAATGTTGAAATTATATAAGACTTATCATGAATATTTATACAAAATTGGTTATTATTTGGATCAAGAATACCTTGAACTTTTCAAATATTTGACATGCCTAAAAATAGCATTGGTTTAGATTCTCCATTATCAATACGAACAAAATTTCCAATAACTGTAACAGTTTTATTTTCTTTATCCTTCAAGGTAACTGGCACATCCGTATACCATCCTAATGAATTGGTAATATGTTTGGAATTGCGCCTTAATTGCAGGATCATTTATCGCACCGAATTCAGATCTAGGATCTAAGAAAGATTCAGAAATTGATAAATCATTTATATTACAATATAAGTACTGTAAAGATGATAACCACTCATCTGATTTTTTCTCTTGAACCTTTTGAGACAGACACATTTTACGTATTTCTGGTGAAAGCTTTGGCAATTGCTGATTATATGATTCATTTACCCATTTTTTTTTTCAGAATTATTATCAAGCCATATGCCATTTTCTTCTTCATACCCACTATTATCATCATCTTCATATTGATGATATAAAGATTTAAGAGGTGTGAAATAAGATCGAATAAAATTAGATTTCGCAGTATTATCTTTATTTATATTTATTTTCTGAAATTCTTCGATTAATTGGTTCACAGATTCACGAGTTTCATTCAGTCCTTTTTCCACTCTTCCTATTCTATTATTATGTGTTCTTTTTATATCATCACTATGCTTTTTATATGTTTCCATAAAATCTACTAATGGGTCATCTCTATATCCTATACTATATAATTCTTTTAATAATATAGCACTATTAATTTCATCTGTATTTTTTGGTGGTATAGGTGGTGATATTTTTTTTGATTTTTGTTGTAATATAGATTCTATTTCAGCTTTATGTTCAGCATCATGTTTTTCTAATACAGATTGAAATTCTGTTTTTTGTTGTACTACTGTATTCTGAAATGCTTTTTGCATATCTTCTAAAGAAATTCCTTGCTGTTGCTAAGTTTAAACAGGTAAAGAGTCATATATTTGCTGAGAAACTAATAGGTCCAATATTCTATCTCTTTTATTTCTAGCTATTCAGCATAATTCAATCTCATAAGGCTTTTTAGCTAATTCATCTAATGGTAAATGTTCACCAATATCTTCAGCTTTTTCAAGCCATGGAAGTGGAAGAGCATCTATAAACTTTTTACGTAATTCTTTAGGCCTATAGTTGGCTCGTCTATCTATTCGTAACAATTTTCTATATAATTTATCTATAGTCATGCTCCCTTTTCTAATTGTTCCATATTGCAAATCCTGAAGCTTTTCTTCTATTGTAGGAAAATGAGTTTTTAGCCATCATATGGCTTGATCAAATCAAATACCAGATACAACTACTGTAGTATCATTACTAGCATTTGATAAATTAACAACAGTATTAGTAGGGCGATCTTCTGCTACATGCCAATCTTCATCCCAAGGTCCTTCTACAGCTCTTAACTTGACTATTGCAGTTCCAGGTTGTCCAAGAGCCTCATTTAATCCATCAGTACCTATCTGGATGGCTGTATATCCATTTACAGCTATTAAATTAGCTTGTCCAATACCATCAGTTAGATTGATTAATTCCCAATTTGTTTTTGTAATGATCTCGTCATCGAACTATTCTAAAGTTCTTCCTCTCATACACCCTCTTAAATATCCTATAGCTACTTCTCTTCTTATTGGTGGACCCCACATTATCTGTTGGATCTACACCTTGGTTTTGCAAATATAATTTAAATTTTGCTAAAAAATCCAGCTTACTATTATTCCAATCAAAAAATGGTTGTGAAAATCCTGTCATTATCCTATTTTGTTGATTATTCTGTAACAATAAAATTTGTCCTTGTAAATTTAAAATCAATTGTTCATTATTTCGAGCCTGAGTTTTCCATTTACCCCATTTATTGTTTAACTGCAAATTACAAAAAAATAAATTATCTTGGCATGTATCCAACCTAAGTTGTAGATTCCTACCATGTGTACGACACCTTTGTAACTGTTGAAAATATTGTCAGTTTTTAAAATTAATGGTAAGTTTTTCAAGCAATAAAGTATTAATACGTTTTTGCATCCCCTTTCTAATTGCTTAGCAATCCCCCACCAGCGACGTCACTCTTCTTGTTTATTATTGAAAGCTTGGATAGCTAAATCTTATTCCGCTTCAACATTTTGTAGATTATTGTTTTTCAGTGTATTTGTCTTGTAACCCTTTTTATTTGATTAGATAAAATCTCTCTATTTGTTTCTGGATTATCCAAATATCCATCTATATTATCGGCTAACTTGACTATTGTTGACATTTCTTCTGATATATTACTGTCTTGTGAATTTTCATCAGATTCATTTTCAGATA